CATTAAAATTTGTGTCCAACTCATGAAAGCTTCTGAATTGACAAAGGCAATATATAGTCTAAATTGCTGGAAGCAACCCAATTTTTGTATTTCTTTTTGATGTGCTCTTGAAATGTGCATGAAGATTGACAACTCTGTATGCAGATGCACTTCCCTACAGTAATCAATCTCATCTTCCTTCAATGTGTTTTATAAGATTATCTATTGACTTTGTATCAAAAGAATACCAAAGGAATTGATGTTGTCTAGCAGCATACAATGATGTGCTCTAAGCGTATGCCCTCTGTAAAGTTCTCGACAATATTGCCTAGGGATATTAAAAAAAAAGTCTCTGCTTTAACAGGTATTCTTTAAAAGGAACTGGAAATGCTCTAGCACAGTTAAGCTGTGGAAGAAAAGACCAGAAGTCAGCCCAAGGCCTTTGAGCAGCTAGATACAGAGGACACAATGCAAAAATCCACTGATAAAATAATAGAGGTGAGTGCATTAGAAGAATGTTTTTGTTTTCTTCCCATTAGTTAAGTTCTAGGGTCTTTTCAGGGCAAACCCTTTTCTTTACTTTATGTATTATAGCTAATATATTAGGCCTGTATTATAAAAAAATACTAATATCAGACTCATCTAGGTATTAAGTGTGAGTGTGCTGCTTACTGTGGCACAGGCTATATTGATCCAGTTAGAGCTGCAGTTGCTTGATATTGCTAATTTTCAGTGATATTAGATCAAAGTAACTATAACTATGGCATTTTAACTAAAAAAGGAAAGGAACAGTATTTAAAGTGAAAGCTTACTATTTGTGGAATGGAAAACAACATCAAAGAGCTGCTCAAATAATTATAAATTCTGCAGTAGTCTTACACATGTAACTATATCACTTGCTTCAGATGCTCCAAATAAGCTCCAAAAAATCTGCATGATGTCTTTAAGCAACCTTCCCACTTAAAATATATTTCTGCAAACACATCTTGAGTATCAGATAATGAGATTCAAGTCCTTTGATGACCAATTTGGAGAATAGTTTGTTTGCTATCAATCTTGAAAAATCATAAGAAATATTTGTAATTTCTTAAATTGAGAACAGTCTTGTTAATAACATCTTTAAACTGATCGCATGCCTCCAATTCTTTCCAAAATCTGATTAGTTTTGAATTTCAGGTGCCAAAAACTGGGTACTTCTTATTTCGCTATTACTAAAGTATGGTTCAGTGGAACTTCTAAGTTGACCTGATCCTCCCCCACCCCGAGGACGATGAAAGGAGTGTTAACTTTTAAAGATAGTAAGAATGAAGAAGGTCAAGACTGCATGAGAGATTTTTCAGACCACAAAATGAGAAACTGATTAAAACAGTTTGTAATGTTAAATTATTGTCTACTATATTTGTTGAATTCTGTTACGCAGAGGTTAAGTTGCATCTTTGTAGACCATTTATCAAAACAAAACTTCAGATGAGAATCCTGATTTATATAAAATCCAAAACAACCAACCCCTCGCCCAAATTATACTACACATAATATATTTCTTTTGGTGTCAGTAAACTCTAAAATAATAATTGAATTAAATCCATCAACTCTGTTTCCCAAAAATGCTGAGTATGAATGTAGAGTGCTACCAAATGAAGTAGATATATGCATCACTAATCTATACAGATCAACTCTCCTTGAAATGTAAATTCCAGAAAGGGACCTGCATTTTCTAAGATGCATACAGCTCCTGCCAACAATTCCTGCATTCAACTCATTTAAAGATTAGCTGTAAACTTCAGAGAAGAAAAGGAAAGACTTGATGCCTGCAATCATAAATATAGAACATTAATTATTTTTTTTTTCTTGGAAGCCTATAAAAGTGAATGTGACATATAGGCAAGTGAACTCTTAAATTACTGGCAACTACCTGAAATCTTTGTTTCATGTTATTTACATTGTATACATTGTTTTCAAACCAGCTTCTTCGGGGAAAACAAAAACAAAAAAACAGTAACAAACCAACCAAAAAACAGGCCACCTTATTCTGATACAATAATATTAAATAGAAATATTACTGAAAAGAAGGAAAACAAGAAAAGTATGGAAAGTTTGGGAATGTATAAAGAACAAAAAGCAATGCTGAAAGGAAAACTACAGTCTTGGATAAACTGCTGGTTGCTACCTCAGTACCGTATTTCTGAAATTAGTGGACTGGAATGAGTTTTGTTAATCATTGAGGTGACATTGTTCAGAAAGAACAGGCTATGTTACACACTACAGGGAATCTGTATTTGGGGTTTCTGTTTCAGGTAAAAGAAGTGTTGTGCCCACAAAATATGAAGCATTGGTCCAATATAAAATCACCCTGCTGATCTGAATGAGTTTCGTTAATTGTTGCGGTGACATTGGTCAGAAAGAACAGGTAAAAGAAGTGTTGTGCCCACAAAATATGAAGCATTGGTCCAATATAAAATCACCCTGCTGATCTGGAGTTCAGAACTTTTCTGTGTTAACGTTTTACTTGACAAATGACAAAGAAGGCACTGTTAAGACTAAACAACTGTAATTACTACAGTTTGCCTTCCCAGTGGCCTTGTAAAGACAGTAGAAGACCAGCATAGACATAGTTTTCTTTGGTTAATTTGAAAGAAACGCGTTCGTATTTCTACACCTGATTCAGAACAATTTTGTACTTCTGAGTAATGCCCAGGTCTGATCAATATGGATTAGGGAGCCACAATCACAGAAAAGGTGGAAGAAATAAATGACAATTTGGGACATCTGTAGAAATCAGAGATATGTAGTAAATGATGATACTTCAGAAAGATAATTTCAGAGGTTAATTATATGTTAATGACAAATAAATATAATTTTATCTCACATCATAGAATCATAGAATTGTTCAGGTTGGAAAAGACCTTTAAGATCATCAAGTTCAACCACTAAACTAAGTCTACCAAGTCCACTGCTAAAACATGTCCCTAAGAACCACATCTACACAGCTTTTAAACGCAGCCAGGGATGGTGATTCAACCACTGCCCTGGGCAGCCTGTTCCAGTGCTTGATAACCCTTTCAGTGAAGAAGTTTTTCCTAATATTGAACCTAGAACTCGTTTGGCACAACTTGAGGCCACTTCCTCTTGTCCTGTCACTTGTTACTTGTGAGAAGAGACCACCACCTACCTTTCTACAACCTCCTCTCAGGCAGTTGTAGAGAGTGATAAAGTCTCCCCTGAGCCTCCTTTTCTGCAGGTTAAACAAACCCAGTCTATATATACACATACAAGTAGCAGAAGAGATAAAGAATAAGATTTATTATATTATATTTCACATTTTACATTTATTGAGGGAATATTTGGTGAAGGCTATTTCCACGTGACCTGCCTGTGTCCGATTCTGTCCAGCATCAGTGGAATACTGCTACCTGCCTAACTTCTAACATAAAGTATTAGAAGCCCAGAAAGTACTGCAGCAATACGTACCTTTTAGCCTTTGAAGTGGAAGACTGAATCCCAGATAGGAACATACACACATATAGGCTGCAGAGTGGCTTACACAGGACTCAGATACAGGATCCTCACCAGGGTTAGGTGGAGTTTGATGTGATGCTCAGGGTAGGCCCACACAACTACAGCTCACCAGTGTCCTTAGAAGCTTGAAGAGGAACACAACTAATGAATGCTTCTACTAGGGGGTGCACCAAAGTTTCTGGATTGCAAGGTACAATTTCAGATAAGCACATCTGCATCTGTAGCTCTGTCTGGCACCATATTTAACATTTCAAGTTTATTTTCTTCTTTGGTATTGATAGGTAATAAAATGCTTACATAAAAAGTGGAGAACAGACCAGGACAATACAGGCAAACAAGTGAAAAAGAAATTAAAAATTTAATAAAACTAATGCAGGGGTATAGAGGAATGTGGGTTTTATATATCATCTGTGTACGTCATACTTAGCATATTAAATGTTGTCTCAGATATACTGTATAACAAGATGCTATTTAAACTTGAACAACTTCCTGTGATCTGCATTAGAAATGACAAAATAAAAATACTCCATGCTTTGGAGGGCCAGCAAATACATATATATCTATCTTTTTAAAAACAAGAATCGATGTGCCAAAGGAGATACACTAAATCCAGGAGAGGAATAGAATAACCAGTCACAGAATACAAACATGATTAATGTGATAGTACTAATGAAGAGCTTTTCCCATTCAAGAGCAAAGTGACGTAATTTATATAATCAAATATTTGCACAGCTACTGATAACTGATTTTTTTTTTTAGTGTCTAGAATAACAGTGTAAATTGAGGTTGCCTGGGATATTTTAATTGCTTTACATTCAGAACTCTCAGTTAAAGCTTTTTCAAGTAGTTTGTATTCTTACTTTAGAGATTGTTTTTTTTTTTTTTTCCAGACTCAAGATGATATGAGTGTAGTTTAATGCTAGTGATATACAGACAGGGAGCTTCTAGTTCAGCTGTTCAAAATCACAGGTGAAACAGATTCCTTTTATTATTAATTAAGAACTTCAGCTTATTAAGAGAAGATGAATCATTTATTGGAGCCACTATTTTAACTATTTTATGCCTCTGTTTTAGCATACAATTTAACTTATTGTATGAATTCTACAAATCAATGCCACTATCATTGTGCGTGATATAAAAAAATACAACAAAAAATACAGAACAGTAAGAATACCATTTCAAATATTTACATTTTTTACAGTTAGAAGCAGTCATTTTTCCAAAACAGCACAAATCTTGTAAGAGAGACATATCTGAATTCTGCTGAAGTTAATGTATTTGCACAACGAAAGAAAGAAGATCAGAATATGACTCACAGTAAGTATGTGAAACTTATTTTTCCCAACACAAAGGGTACCATTTCAATGAGTTAACAGATGTGTTATTCCAATGAAGCATATAACCAGTGTGTTAAGTTCTCATAATACAAATCTCTACAGTTTAGGAAGATATATTGGAAAGAGTTTGTTTCAGGCCCTTTTTAAGAAACATCGATTGCAAATGCGTTAATGCCAGTCAAAGGAATGATTAACCATTCTGTAAAATTTTGCATTGTGCTCTCTGAAGTAAGAATAGAGTTGCTCTAACACAGTGTTGTTTACAAGGGGGTGGGGGCGCCCCTTGGATTCATGTAAACATCTCTCCCTTCCATCACTTCTAATGCAGTAGAATCCCTTGGTCTGGTTAAAATAAAAATTAGAAGACATAATTCGCGAAGGAAGATTTAGAAATCTTTCGACTTTTTGTAATTCAGGAAGAGGGTCTTTGATTAAAGTATTGCCATCCACTATGTGAATCTGATCCAAACTGAAATGCTTAAGCCACTTTTCCATATGAACATCGTATAGACTTCTCTGAATAGCTTTGTATTTGGTATTAAGTGCTCCATTCTTAATAACAATATCTTCAAAAAGCTGAACAGGCTTGTGGCTTTCTACTCTGTTGTAATATACTTGGGTGTAGTCGGATATAACTCTCTCAGTGGGATCTCTTAGAATGAGCAGCAGTTTAATGGAGCTATTCATGTCATGAATTCTTTCTGGTGCCTGTGGTGATGTAAAATAGCCTGGTGTTTTCTCAATTGTAATTTGATTTCCATAAGAAAATGGCATCAGACTTCTATACCAGTCTATTCCTTTCACGTAATTTTCGTCCCAGTCAAAGAAATGGACTTCTGTAGCTGCTACCACAATATTAGGATGAATATCCAACATTTCCAGCAAAGCCCTTGTCCCTCCTTTACGAACTCCTATGATGATCGTCTGAGGTATTTGTCGGCTTGTGCCAGGAGGTCTCACCTGTACCGAGTAGCGTTCACTGTTATTGCTGAATAATCCTACTTGTGACTTCAGTTTTTCCAATAGTGCCCCATTCTGAAGAGGAGCACCTTGAGCATGAGTCAGCAGAAGATAAGCTGACATTAGTAGGAAGGCCATGTGGGGAAAAATAATTAGTTCAAGATAATATTATGCTTGACTAATGAAAGAATAGGTAAGTCCCCTCTTAAGTTGATTGGCTGGACCTGTGGTAAACACACAGCAGTTTTCTGAAGCATCTATAAAATAAAATACAACAAGTCAGTATTTCTAAATCCATCACCAGTCAGAAATTCAACTCACAAATCTAATCTGTGATTACAACAAAAAACTTAAATCAAAGTTACTTGTTTTCCCTGACTTTACTTCAGTACAACAACAACAAAAAGTTTTTTCCTTAACTATAAATGACCAATGATGGATACTAACCCTTCAACAGCTTTTGTTTCCTCTTAGCACATTAGAATTACTTACCTGATTTTAAATTCCTGACTATTACTTCCTCACTTTGATCTCCCTATTTCTCTTCTGTATATACCATACACTTCTCATGCCATAAACACCATACCCAATATGATATTAATAATATCTCCAAAGCATTTTCGAATGTCAATGCCTTTTCCCAAATTCCCTGCTAGAAGAGTGTATCCTAATCTAAATAATACCACTGGATGCTGGAGCATGTGGTGCATTTGGTTTCCAGTGAGCTATGGATCACGTGAAAAAATTTCTGTTTGCTGAGACACAGAAAACAATGCACAAACACAGGCAACACTTTGGAATCGGAGCCCTCTAGAGCAGGAAACTAATAGTGTGACAAAACAAGAGTGAAGTGTCTTGAGTTGGATCAGTGTGGAAAAAATGAGACAAAGTGGACTCTTTGCAACTATCCAGGTATTGTGAAGTAGTCGCTTAAGTGTTGGGAAAATTTTGGCAAAATCAAATTTCATATAATACTCTGCAGTTCCTCCAAAGCTCTGTGTAAAGAGATACCTAGATGCTTCTCAGGCACCTAAAAACTTTTGCAGGGAAGCAAGTCTGGTTGGACCCTGATACCTTCTTTTTCTTAATGCACATAGCATACAATCATTTTAAGGAAGTGGTGAATGTTAAATCTCTTACAATTTCAAAAAAAGCTTTAGGTTTGTGGGTATGTGCATGTGCACAGGTAAGTGAAAGAAAATGCAACTGTAAAACCATTGCTAACATTTGAAATCTCTTGAGTAACTCTTGTATATATTCATAGAAACAGATAGCTAACAGATCTGCCATCAGACTAGCACTGATAAAAAATTCACCTCAATGCAAAACCTTCATTAGAACCTTTATGCTTGGATTGTCTGTGTCTATGTCTGAAAATCTTAAAGGATAAATCCTCACTGAGAGGAGTCTTGGACTTCATCCCATTTCTGAGCAATTATAACATTTGTAGGATAGATCTATACCCTCAACTTTGTTTGCTTTCAGTGTAGAGTGTGGGAACAAGCGATTTCATACAGTGAAGCAGCAGTCATTTTAAAAATAGTAACTGTTTTTGGAATCTATTTGAAGCAGCCTCAGAAATGCTACACCTTTAGGTCCTTCTTCAGTTCCACTGCCAGTCTCTTGTTCAGGATATACTGGTCACAGCACTTCACCTCTTAGAAATTACCTTAGCAAACACAGCCAATTCCCACTTGTCATGGCTCTGAGGAGTACTCAGTACTTCTATTTTAAAATTGCTTACTTTGAGCCTTACTTTACAGGCTTAACATTTAACATAAGAACATTTTTGATAATAAGTCTAGGCTATGTAATAGATTCCTGAAATCTATTTTGTAAATCTTATTAAAAACTACTCTAGCTTCTTGAAATGTAGGGGATGACTCCTGTTAGCCTGAATGAGCTCTGAGCTCACAGACAGATAACAAACATTAACCCCTAAACTGCCATTTTAAAAATAAACTATCACCTTTAGCGAGTAAATCTGTGGAGAGCATTCCCTGTTATGTCCAAGTAAAACCTTAAGAGCAATGGCTTTTTCAGAAAGTGCACAGCTTCAACCAGGTAAAGTGTGTGAGCACACACTTATTAAATGGTGGAAAAATCAAAATACAAATTTCCTGGAGAAAATAGTGTTTTCCTTTACAAATCTGAAAGGAATTTTCATTTTAAAGGTCACAAGTCGTTTTTTTTTTTACTACAAACTTCACATGGAAGTTCTATTTAAAGTTCTCAAGAGTAGAAAACACCAGCATTTCTATGGCAATTACAGGATGGAATATATATATTTATAACCAAAACAGCTGTAATTATTTTTTTTAGAATGACTACTCTTCTAGATGGCAGTTTTGGGAAATGGCAAACGCCATTTATTTAGTTCTGCTGAAGAATCCGAATGCATTCTGGTATAATGGCAGCTAATGTTGGTTTTGAAAAGCTCCATATAATGTACAACGGAAAAATGCATGACAGTTTTGCAAACACTTCCTCGAAGCAGGAATATATGACAGTACAGCTGTTTACCAGACCTGTGATGCCAATAGGCTAGGATTTGAGGGGTGGGGCAAGGGAGCAGGGCATGGTTAACCTTTCTTTTCACCTGTTCTGAAACCTCAGATTCTATTAATCTTCATTCTTAAATGACAATTCTTTCAGGAAGTTTGAGGATTTTTTTTTTTTTGTAAACACCTTACAATTTTTTTTTATTTACCTTTTTTTGTGCTAAAACACACAGCTCATTACAGATTATGATGCATGCACACCTGCATACATTAGATTACAAGCACTTTCACACTGGCAAGACAGGCCTGAATGTCTGCCAAGCAAAGATTGCCTTGCAAGTACCAATGTGGGGACATAGAATTTCTTATATAATTTAAATTCTGGAACTATCCCATTTTGAAACAGTTTTTTGAACTGGTTCTTGACAGATATTTTAGTTAATTTCAACCAGAAAGAAAATAATTTTTAATTTTGGGAAGTATTCTTGAGACTAACTAGCTTAAACAAAAAAACAGAAGGAGAGAGAATAAGGAATTTCTTGAGGGAAAAAAAAAAAAAGCAAAGCAGCGTAAGAAAAGATACAAAAGTATTTGAGACTGGGGATGCTACAGCAGTATAGACAGAGGGAGGGTTCTTCCTAGATCTGTTAACAGACGAAAAAATGCTCAAAATCACTTATTTTTAAAAACCCCAACACAAATATTGTTTTATCCCTAATTAATTGATAGTTATCTGGTTTCACACACCTAAGAATCAGATGTAAGCACTGTCATTCAAAGAAGCCTGGAAGCTGAATGAGAAATTCATACTCAGAACTAAGGAAAGACTGGTCTTCCAAAATATTCTCAGGTTCACATGTGATGTGAGTCTGCTTAATTTACCATCTGAAATCAGCAATTCTCTGCAAAATACACTTAGAAAGCAAGTAACAGAAGAGATTCTGCATTTTCTATCAAAGAACGTATTAGCAGCATTTTTGAAAACAATTATGTTCGCTTAACCAGTTTGCAATTAATTAGTTATTTTATATAGTGGAAATCTCTTACTGTAAGAGATTGTTTATTACTAGAACAAAACCTTGCCCAGGAAATAATACCAGAAATTATCAAATTCAGAATGTAAAGCTGGTACCTAAATAGATCAAAACTGTTTTGGGGAGCAATTCCATCAGAACAACATTCCAGCTTCAGCCTAAGATATTTGATTGATTCTGATGAAGCTCTAAGATATTAGATCCTGGGGTTAGGCTATAATTGCTACATAAATGTAAAGGTTTTAAAGATGATGTATCAAATATAATTGTAATGTTATTTGAATATTTTTTGTGTTGCTTTTCTGCCTTTATGCAATTAAATGTACATTTCTAGAAGACATGTACTGCTTTCTATAATGAAAACATATATATTTTACATTGCTGCACTGCACACTCTTTGAATCTCAGAGCATTCCTACAAAATTAACCCCATGATACATGATCAGAATTATAGTGCCTTATGACATGGTTTTTTCCCTATTACTTGGTAGTGTTGGTGTTGCTCAGTAACATAAGGAACATAAACAGATATGATACTTATTAAGCAGAAATGAAGTTCAGGAAGAAATTCATGCTGCAGAGGAGACTAATTAAGTAAATAATACCTTGGGCTTTTGTTTGTTTTGCTTTTTTAAAACCTTAGACTAGACTGAAGAAGCTAATACTCTGGCTGAAAAATCATTTCAATATTGCAGAAATGTTCTAAAGACCCTTAACCACTGCCTCTATTGTGAAGAAAAAACAACTCTGTAAGCAGCTTATGATTTATCTTGCTTCGGGGTAAAGTACAACATCATAGAGTAAACCTAACTGTATTACTAATTTATATTATTAATTCCTAATTATACTCTCCACTGCCTGTAATGCTTTTTATTGGAGAATTTCATAGCACTTTGTGTTAATGAACTGTCTGCACCCTATTAAGGCACTGTTCTCACCTTGCAGGAAATTGCAACTGATCAACCTATAGACCCAGCTGAGGAGTTGAAATGGTTTGGAAAGTTCAGGTTAATGTGATCTGCTCAAGGAAGGTTGTATAACAGGTTTAGAGTTCAACCAAGAATAAAAACCTGAGGGCTTTCAATTCCCTTTCCAGTTACAAATTGTGCCTTTTCATGACAGCCACTCATATCTTGTAGGTAACTTATACTTGGGTTAAATGCTGAACTGAAATGCAAAGAGATTTCTCGGTGTTTCAGCGTAAGTTTGAAGATTTTTGTGAAGTTTCTTCCCACTTGCTACCCTCCCTCACCCCCAAAATGAAACAATGTATGAACCCAGGATTTTGTGGTTTCAAGGTATTTGTGCAGAAATACAAACAAACTTTGTTGCCTGTTACAAAAAATGGAGGTAATCAGAGCAAGTTTAACAAAGCATCAATTTTCATCTTGATTTTTAACAACATATTCGGATTTTAAAAGTGTACTACTTTTCCTGTTGTTTCCTATTAGAGATCAAATCATCCTCACACAGATATCAGCCACTGAGAAGAGTATAATTCAAACATTTAAAGGCTTACTAGCACAAAAATTTATAACAGCTCAATTATACCTCTACAATGAAGAACATCCGTAATGCTGACAATATAAAAAAGCTACAGCACCCTAAGAGTATTCATAACCAAAGGTCATATAAGGTGAACTGCTTCAGGAATTTTAAAAAAGAAAATCATACTGTGATAACAGTTATGTCAGCGTAAAGTATCCATATACAGAC